TCATAATAAGGCCAAGCAAAAAAAAATATTCATCAAAAATGGTGGTGCTTTTCGATGGGTAGAAAGGAACACAATTTGTTTGTTTGTCTGTATGTCGTTTAAAAGCTTTGTTTACGTTACAATACCTTTATATATAGGCATTTTGTTTAATAGGCCTGTTTCATTGATTAATGACCCAATAACATTAACAAAATCACACTTATTTTTAGAAACAAAATTATCAAAGTGTTGTATGTTTGACCAAATTTGGCAATAAACAGTTGGCGGTCGGCAATTTGGCTTAAAATAATTCCAGGAAGGGGCGGTTATCGTCAACATCTTATTTTGTCAAAAACACTCTGGTGGCACTGCTTTATTGCAAACGAAGTTTTGTTTTGAAAAAAAAAACCTACCTTGCTTGAAGAAAAACATTCCATTAAAAATGCATCACTCTACAGCGGATACAACACATTCTCATTGTCAACAAACCTAAAGCGTACATTTTACTATTATCTCAATACTCGTACACAAAGGTTATTTACCTTTGTGTACGAGTATTGAGATAATAGTAAAATGTACGCTTTAGGTTTGTTGACATGCACCAAAACTGTGTGTCTATTGTATACAAATATGTGCATGCGCAATTTAAAAACATTAATTATAATCATTTATTTTTGTGTCAGAACATTATTTATTTAATTCTTTAGTTATTGTTTCGGTAAATTGGAAAGTGATTCAACAAATCAGCAAAACGATGCTCGTGCATCTTTGTGTTTTGGGATTATTTTGTTTATTCGGGGTAAAGGAGGAAGCCACTGAATGAGGTGTAGTGATGGGTGGAAAGACTAAACGCCATACCGGACATGCTGATATACACCGTGTCTCTTCGCTGGAGAACCAGCACCGCGCTCCCAGACACCTGCTCACCATGACCTGAATCAGTGCTTTCGCCAGAGACAACCACGTCGCTGTTCTTCCAGAGATGAACGACCAGGACGCTGCTTGCAGAATGCTTGTTCACAGAAAACATGAACACGTATGTGCCTGGCACACTACACGTGAATGTGCCGGTCTCGAGATCGAAGCTGGTACCCGGCAAAATTGTCTCAGTCTCCTGGAAGGGCAAACGGGTCTCGTCTCTCGTAGAGGAATCCAGGTCGCTTGTCCTCACCACGGTGAATGCTACCCGCTGGTTGGAGTCGTCTTGTGTCTCCCCTGACTCACCCTTTTGACCTTTGACACCAGTCAGACCGTTAGGCCCGACTAAACCATTAGGCCCAGTGTCACCTTGTGGCCCAATCGGTCCGATCTGACCATTTTCACCTGGCTCGCCTGCATCACCCTTTAGTCCCATCTGACCTTTGACACCACGTGCTCCCTTCAGACCCCAAGGGCCAACCGGTCCAATATGACCCTTCTCACCTACATCACCCTTTGACCCTTGCAAAATTCCTACAATTGCAGCTGTGTCCTGGCAGCACGTTTGGCCCGCCTGAGACGCAGGACCATCGCCGTCCGAGGGAATCGGCCCAGTAACGGAAGCTCGGAGGTTGACGGAGTTACCCAGAAGGAGGGCGATTGAAAGAACTGTTGCCGCGTAGATCTTCATTCTGTACAGTATAACAATGATCACAATTAAACTAATCAGGTGAGAATTTGTTTTAAATAAAATCGTTTTTAAAATAGGGAAGAGTAGAGAAAAATATTGAGGTCCGATAAACTGGAGAAATATAGTCTAAAACTCCTAACAATCCACCGTCAGATTTGAAGAAGAAAAAACACGAGATGGGAGAAATCGTTGTTCGAAGAATATTTTCTTTGTGATGTAAACAACAGTGGCGTATCAGGGGCCAAGGGGCTAACATTTATGAAAGGTCTTGTCTTTCTTTTGCTCGCCGGTAAAAGTTAGGAAAGGTCATCAAATTGCATTCCGATAGGGCGAAGCGTTCCGGAGCTGTAGTATTTTCTTCTTTTTTTTGTGGGGAGGGGGCGGAGGCAGACGAGCACATCTTGCCCCTTCACCGGTCCTAGTAGAATAATTAATTAAACCTCACCACACCCACCTCGATGATTTGTTCGGGAAGATCAGGTTCAAGAAGAGATCACAAGGAGTTCAGTGCAGGCTGAAAAACATACAAACGAAGACTGGTTACGTTTATACTTTAGTCAGGAATACTATTTTATTATTGATAAAGATGAATAAGTGAGAATTTTTTCACATATTGACACAATGCCATCCCCCCAAAAAACAGCACAAATTAATCCCCAATTTATAAGGGCCAAGTAATTAAAATAAAATGTTTTCACGGCCGAATTCGTCAAGAATACAACCTGTTTCAATGTCGCACGCATTGTTGAATTTCTCTCGAATTGACTGATCCTTGAAATTAGCATTTAATTTGTTTAAACGTTATTATTAAAACTGTTTTCACACATTTTTAAAGCCATGTATCTATTTTTGAGACACTATTTAGTAACTCGGTTAAAAGTTTGAGAGCATTCTAAGCTTTTGCTGCCCTTGTCCAGGTAAACTTACTTTTAAATCCGGTGAGTTTTAAAGCAGCAATGAAATTCTTCATTTAATATGAAATATTACAGGGTTTCCCGTCTAATTTTACACTTTGCTTATTCAATCAAAAACATTTTCATTCAAATTCGCATAAAATAAGCAGACCTTTTCACACCCGGTTGAACTTAGCGAAAGCTCAAAATATTTTAGAGTATTCTTCATTCACGCGTGAAAAGTAAGCAGCAAATTACGTGAATTGTGCATTGAATTTCTTGTGCTTTGAATTTCAGTCCCGCTCGGGAATTCACTTTGATGCATTCGTTTACAAAAGCAACACAGTTCAATGATATTTGGAAGTTGCATTAGCAAGATATTGTGTTATCGTGATACAACAGAGTATAAAATGACATGGATTTGAACAGGTTTGACAAAGGAATTTACAGCTCTTTCGAAGAAAAAAATAATGACCGGGAAGGGAATATGACAAATGCAAAACAGAACTTTAAAATTGTGAAGTGTCTAAGTGATAGAAGGAAATACATGTTGAAGACTCGCCAATAAAAAACAGATTTTCACATGAGGACAATTAAGTGACCAGTTTGTTAATTGTTGAAATCACGTGTTGGAAATAAGAAGATGAAAACAATAATATATATGCCTATATTATATAAAATTCGAGGCTTTGCATGGTGGGGTATCGGTATCGTTTCGGTTTGCGGTAACACCATGTGGTAATTGTCCTGCTTATTATCAACTTTGCTAAGTAGCTTTTGTTCTGATAAAAACAGTCCTGCTGTAAGTTCTAAACGAAATTGTCTTTGGTCTCAACGTTTCGACTAGCCTGCTCTAGTCATCGTCAGGAGACTGAAGATAGTTGGAGATGCTACTCCTTAAGTAGGATTTGTTAGGATTGGGAGTGCTTGCTGGGCATGCCCTGCTCGCTCGACTGTGTCAGTTGGCTGTGAGCCTTGGGCATTGTGTTGAGGGATGCCCGCTGAGCGTCCTGCTCGCTCAGGTGTGTCAGTTGGCTGTGAGCCACGGGTATTGCAACTTGGAATAACTGAATGCCATATGTTGCTTATGAAATAGCCGATATCTTGTGGGACAGTGTCATGTTTGTGGATTTCAATAGCTTCTCTGATACGACGGGTGTACCAATGTTTCTCTTGGGCTATGATTTCCGCTTGTTCTCAATCAACAACATGATCCAGAGCAGCAGAGTGTTTGACAACTGCCGATTTGTCAAGTTCCCCTCTGCGGCCATGAGCTATGTGTTCTTTAAGCCTGGTAGTGAGATCTCTGCCGGTCTCGCCAATGTACACTTTGCCACATGAGCAAGGAATTCGGTAAACTACTGCTTGACTTCTTGGGTTGTGCTTGTCTTTGTGGGTGTACAATTTCGTTTCGAGTTTGTTGCGAGTTCGGTAGTAGACCTTAATATTGGCTTCACGTAGGATTCGCTGGATCTTGTTTGATGCATGGACAATATACGGAAGGACTGCAACCGGCATGTCGGGTGTGTTAAGGGTCTGAGACATGCTCGAATCCGGTGCGAGGCTGTGATTCTTTGGTCTGTACCCGTTGTCTCTTAGCATTTTATTAAGGTGCTTCAGTTCGGATTGTAGGTGTTCATCATCACTGATGATATGTGTCCTTCGAAGTAGGGTGCGGTTCACCGAGGTCTTCACTGATGGTGGGTGGAATGAACGAGCATTGAGGTATCGGTCTGTATGTGTAGGCTTCCTGTATACAGAGTGCCCAAGTGAACCATCAGCCCGTTTGGAAATGAGTACATCAAGGAAAGGCAATTAATCGGATGTCTCAGTTTCCATGGTGAATTGTATACTCGGGTGTTGTTGGTTGAGATGGCGGAGGAAACCATCGAGCTTGTCCGGGCCATGTGGCCATATGATGAATGTATCATCTACGTATCGAAGCCATAACTTAGGTTGGAATTGAGCAGTTGCCAAAGTGTTTTGCTCTAAATCTTCCATGAAGATGTTAGCCAGGACTGGGGAAATTGGGGACCCCATAGGAGTGCCTGAAGCCTGTTGATAGTAATTGTCTCTCCATTGGAAGTACGTAGACTTTACGCAAGTCAGGAGAAGATCATAGATTTGAACTGGCGTTAAGCTGGTTCTTTCCGCGAGTGTGCCGTCTTGTTCGAGTATCGACTTGGTTACGAGGCATGCTTCTTCAGTCGGTACATTAGTGAATACAAATTTGACATCAAAACTCACTAGCATGTCTGCAGATTGCAATTTAATTCCCTTTATGGTGTTGATGAACCCTGCTGAATTGAGTACATGGTGAGGCGTGTTTCCCACGAGTGGGTGTAGGAGCTTTGTTAAGTGTTGTGCGAGGTTGTAGGTTGGGGAACCTCTTGACGACACAATAGGTCGGAGCGGTTTGTCCGGTTTGTGGATCTTCGGTTGGCCATAGAATCTTGGGCATTTCGAGCTGGATGGACGAAGATGCCTGTATAATGAAGTCGGTAAGGCTGAGCTACGATTTAAGGAGAGTAGTTGGCGGCAACTTTCCTTTCGACTGCTGGAATGGGATTTTTCTTGAGGCGGGTATAGATATCTGTGTTGAGGATATCCTGAACCTTATGGTCATACTCCGTGCGGTACATTATGACTTTTGCATTACCCTTGTCTGCCTTTAGGATGTGTATCGAAGAATCATTGCGGAGGCTGTTGATAGCCTGGTGTTCAAGTCTTGTTATATTGGATTTGGGAGGCTTCGAGTGCTTCAAGACTTGGTGTATTTGGAAACGGATGTTGTATGCCTTTTCTTTATCCATCTTGCGGATAGAAGGTTCAATCGATTGTATGAACTCTTCCACAGGGATCTTACAAGGGGTAGTGGCAAAATTCATACCCAAGGCTAATATATTTGATTCCGTTTTAGATAGCTGGCGTTGGCTGAGGTTTACGACTGAGTTCGCTTTCTCCATGTCATCATTGTTCCCTTTATTTGTGGACGTGTTCCGTGAGGCTCTGTCCATTCTCTTCTTGCCAAAAGAAATGAGGCGTTGGAATTTTCGGATCTGTTTCCTTTGGGTGGCATGAAAAGTGTGTGATACAGATTTATCCGTGAGGGCGGATATCTTATCATAATCTGTGGGGTGCATAGTCGTGCGGAGACTATCCTTGCTACTCTTTATTTCTTGATCGGTTCGGTATAGGCAACATCGGGCGGAGGCAATTTGTGATCGAAGTAGGGCTTTATTGGCAGTATGTATGATTTGAGCAGAATTGTTTTCTTTGATAGGGTCTCGTAGGCAGAGACTCCTTGGGACTACGTTCGCATCTCTACATCTCTTCAGAAATGTCAGGTTATTGATCAGTTTGCAACGTCTTGTACAAGAGCGTTGGTATAACTTGACAAGGTTTTTCATGCGCTCCCCGTAGAGCATACTGATATAAGATTTGAGGCTTTGCATGGTGGGGTATCGGTGTCGTTTCGGTCTGCGGTAACACCATGTGGTAATAACTACTGCTTAGAAGATATTAGTTCTAAAAAGAACTTGTCCTGCTTATTATCAACTTTGCTAAGTAGCTTTTGTTCTGATAAGAACTGTCCTGCTGTTAGTTCTAAACGAACTTGTCTTTGGTCTCAACGTTTTGACTAGCCTGCTCTACTCATCGTCAGGAGACTGAAGATAGTTGGAGATGCTACTCCTTAAGTAGGATTTGTTAGGATTGGGAGTGCTTGCTGGGCATGCCCTGCTCGCTCGGGTGTGTCAGTTGGCTGTGAGCCTTCTTATCAGAACAAAAGCTACTTAGCAAAGTTGATAATAAGCAGGACAAGTTCTTTTCAGAAGTTATATCTTCTAAGCAGTAGTTATTACCACATGGTGTTACCGCAAACCGAAACGATATACCTATATTGCAAATCATAACACTTTTTTTGTGGCCAATACGATTGACGTTTAGCGAATTAAATGGGCTCTTATTCCATTGCAATTTTGTTGAAAATGAATACTTCCAGATTCGGCTATACTCAGTGCAAAATTAAAAACCAACAAAAGAAATGAATTTTCTTTTGCACGAAAAAGTTGCCTTCACGCTTTGCTGGGTGTAAATATTCAAATCAAATGAAATCGAATGCTCTAACTGTGATTGAATGAAAAAAAATACGAAATTGGACGGGAAAACCTATATGTTATGATTCCTGAACGTGATAAACAATCACAAACGAATTACAACGTGATCAACGATCACGAAAGAATTAGGACAATCATGGTTGCAGACACAATTTCGATCTAAAAAATTGCGAATACTATTAACAAGGATACAAAAGAAGATAAATGCCAAAGAATCCGATTACACAATAACTGAATATTGATGAGATCAATATTTTTTTTCATCTTAGTTCTCTTTTTGACCAATTGATGTACGTACATAAAAATGTAAAAGGAAATTTGAGCGTGTGTCCGCCATTAGTTCAGGGCACCCTGATGAATTTGACAAGGAATTTGCAAAGACTGCAGGCCAAAATGTCAGGCACAGTTCTACGGTGCGTGTAAGGGGAGGGAATTCCTCACTTCTTTAATACATGGTGAGTCAAAAAAAAGCGAAACCCAAATGTTGGGACTCTTGTTTTATTGAAGTTCTGCATGTAGTACTTTGAAAATTAAGGTTATGAAAGACCAATTCATAAGCTTTTTTTTAGTACAAGAATCGTTCAAATCTCTCATGTACTTTTCAAGCTACGCATTTGTAAGCAAAACCGGTGTTCTGTCCACGGATCAGAAAAAGGTGTGCGTTCTTTCAGCAAAACGAAAACAATTCACGCACATCCCTATATGTGATTTGTTTTCGTTTTGCTGAAAGAACACTCACCTTCTTGTGATCCGTAGACAGAACTTTAAAACCGTGGTTGTGCTTAAAATTCCGCTTTTGTATCCTAGATTTTGAAAGGGCTACATGCAGAACTTCACTAAAACAATGTTCCCGACATTTGGGTTTCGCTGTTTTTGACTCGCCCTGCATAGGCCCTATCACTCGAGCGATGTTTTTTTGTTACAAATTTTGACCAAAAGGTAACTGTATAAATATATCAACAAAAAAAACAGTCTCCCACGAAAATCACTGCTCTGTTCTGATGATTGTCAAATAACAGACACTCACCTAGATGTAACGTTCTTGAATTCTATCACAAAGGGAATCCTCAACACTCGAGCAGATTGCGAGCTGGAAATAATACCAACAATTATTAAACAAATACTACTATTAGTGGAGCTGCTAAGCGAAAAATCGTGCACTTTGTGGTAAAAGCATGAAGTGTCAAAATGGGCTAGAAATTATTTTAAGATCGGGACCCATCCTGGATCTTGCCCATTTTGGGGGCGGAGCTTGAGTTTTCAAAAAAGGGGGTGCAAACAATACAACTCATGAAAACTTTATTTAACATCAAATTTCCTTGTTTTTTTACGCATTCTAACACCTATTATTTTCCACCCATTTTGTGGGCGTGGTCTAAATGTTTAAAAGAGGCGGTATATATTAGCAGTTTGGTTCCAATATGGAAAACATCATTCAGTTTGGTAGTAAAATCCTGAAAATTGGCATGTCCAATTGAAATGGGCTGAAAATAATTTTAAGAGGTGAACCCATCTTGGATCTTGCCCATTTTGGGGGCGGAGCTTGATTTTTCCAAAAGGGGAGTGCAAAAAATGAAAACTAAGAAAACTAAGAAAACTGTATTTTACATCCACTTTGTTTCTCATGCTTTTAAATAAACTTAGACATGAGAAATAACATTCTAACATTCTAACACGTGTTATTTTCACCCTTTTGCGGGCGTGGCCTGAATATGTAAAGAGCGGTACATTAGGAAGCTTGATTCAAACGAGGGAAAATCATCATTTTTGCTGGTGAAAACCGTCTTCTCCCTCGATTTACTATGTTTACCATACACTGTAAAGATAATTTTAAACGGTTGCAAGACTAATTGTTGCCCTTTTAGGGGTAAAGCTACATTTTAATGTAGCAGCTTTAAATTTTTCATATCTTAATTGGTATGATTGTCTACAAGTAACTTACACGTGGATGAGTAAAAAAAAGGAAACTCAAATGGCAGGACATTTTTTTTGATGAAGTTCTGCATGTAGCACTATCAAAATCTAGATATGAAAGCCCAATTTATAAGCTTTGTTTTAGTACAAGAATCATTCAAATCACTTATATACTTTATAAGTTACGTAATTTTAAACACAAACACTGTTTTAAAGTTCTGTCAGCAAATTGAAAACAATTCACATATAGGGGTATGCGCTGGAATTGTTTTCGTTTTGCTGAAAGAACCCACATCTTTTTTGTGATACGTGGACAGAACTTTAAAATGGTGGTTGTGTTTAAAATTCCGTAACTTGAAAAGTACATATAAGTGATTTGAATGATTCTTGTACTAAAAGAAAGCTTATTTCATATCCTAGATTTCGAAAGTGCTACATGCAGAACTTTATTAAGAAAATGGTCCCGCCATTTGGGTTTCCATTATTTTTACTCACCCTGTATACTTACAATGGCAGCATGTCCTTATTGTGATTGTTTTATAAACACTATGGGGATCACAAGGGGGAGGGAGGGGGATTGGGGCGGCCCAATGGTGGATTTCTTGAAAGTGCTTTTCTAATATGTTTAATATATATATATATAGGCATATAAACGTGAAAATATGCACAGAATATACGTCCATTCATTGCAATGTGTACTGTTGGATTTATATTAGATGGACGTTGGGACTTGGGGGAGTAATGTCTTAATGACTGAAAAGGAGAGAATGATGTTGTTGTTTTTTTGAGAAATTATGTAACTTCTTAAATAATGCGTTAGCATTTGGATATGTTAATGGGAGAAATTGCAGTTGACGCCCCCTCCCCCAAATATAAAAACTACACGAATACACGAAATACACGAATGTATCAATGTAGCCGATAACATTATTTGTGTCATTATTTGTTCCACGAACATTGTCACTTGATACGAATTCATTCAATGATATGAATTTCAGATCATTGTCTAATTCTCCCTATATAGTATAATGTCCAGTTTGCTGACGTCACGATCCTAAAACCTCACTAAATCATTACGTTTTTCTATATAATATCTAAGGGTAAGTTTGGTAAAATTTGGATGAATGGTTTTTAAATTAAAAATATTCTAACTTTCTTGAACGTGCTAGGGGGTGCCCTTTCAGGCGATGACATCGCCATGCCACTGTTTTTTGTATTGGGCATTTTTCATTTAACATTTCCATTATTTGTTTAATTGTATTAAAATCCTTCCGTTTTTAAGTTACATTCACTTCTCAGTGCACGTCCAGTAGCACCGTAAGTAAATGACAAATGGCTTTGCACACGGGAATCCAAGTCATTGCCTGAGACAATGCCTACCGCATAACAAAAATAGATAACGGTAGTCCATTCTTTTGAAAAAGTTATAATTTAAATAAATCTTTTTTTTCAATTTAGACCTTATCGCTTGTAATCCGATACCTGATGACGCCATGATGACGTCCCAATTTTGTAACATCTTTGGTTCAGGTACACATACCAGGTTTAATCATCATCATCCCATGAACTGTTTTGATGAAATTTTGGTTAGTTTTGATTTAAGGATCATTCACCTAAATTTGACTTTCCGGTAGCTCCGGAAGTAAGGTCCCGTGCATTCACGTACTTGACAAAAGTGTTTGTCAATTAATGATCTATCTGCGTACAAATTAGGAACATGAACACTCAGTTTGTTCAAGACTTATACATATATGAAAGAAGTTGGCCACTTTTGAAGAAGTTGGATGAGGGTTGATCTTTGTTCAAAGTGTCATATTTATACCGTGTAACGTTTAGAATAATAGTCGCGGAGCATCATCCAGAAAAACAAACAGGAAAAAAAAGGCAAAAGAAAAATTATTATCATTTCAGAGTGGTGATCGGGCTGAACGGTACAATTTTTAAAAGTATTTATCTAGTAATGCTTGCTTTTTTTTGAAAATTAA